CCGCGCACGAGCGGCACCTCCTCTCCCTCCACGCACGCCCCCTCCGGTAGTCAAAGTGACGGCCCCGGAGCTGCGCGGCGGCGGCGCGTGGGCACCGGAAGTGCTGCCGCCGGGCCCCGCCCCGCCCGCGCCCACGGGGGGCCACTTCCGGTCACGCGGGGTCGAGCGCGGCTCCCGGAGGGGGCGTGCGTGGAGGGAGAGGAGGTGCCGCTCGTGCGCGGGAGGGCGCTCTGGGCCCTGGAGCCCGGTGCCCTCATCCCGCGACCCCGACCCAAACCCTGGAGACCCCAGCCCCACCCCTGGGAACTCCAGCGACTCCTGCCCGGAGACCCCATCCCACCCCTAGACACCCCAGCGCCCTTTGCCCCGACCGGACATAGGGCCCCCTGTCCTGGGAACCTCAGCGCCCCCTGCCCAGATCCGAGGCCCAGACCCCACCCCCAGACACCCCATGAGCCCCAACTCTGAGACCTCGACCCCAGCCCCTGGACACCCCAACCCCGCCCTCTCCCTGGAGTCACCGGTGACATCCCTCTCACCTGCGAGCCTACTCCCTCCCCAAGCCCAGTAGGGATTCCTAATTCAACCAAGATTCGGGAATGACTACTGAGTGCCAGACCCGGAGTTCATCCCACCCCAACCTTGGGACCCTCTCTAGGTCCGGAGTCGGTGGAAACAGGCCATGATCTATGGAGGAGCCTCGCGGAGGCCATCCATCCAGCTGGCGTGCCATGACACCAGACGAGGGTAGGGGCGCTCCCTTGCGGGTGATGGACAAGAAGGACTGTAGCAGGTGGGCCGGGTGTCCACTGCTCACGGGCACTGCTTTGTGGGACCACTAGTGCCTGTAGGACCAGCGCTGCTAAAGGTAGGGGATTTATCCAGAATGGATGACGATGAGGACTGAAGGTGCGGGGGGCCAGGGCAGCTGAATGAATGCATTGCAATCCTTGCATTGGAGCCCTTGCGTGGAAGGACTTGAAATCAGTACCACGAAGAGGGCCAGCCTGTGAGCACAGAAGGGTCTACCAAGCAGAGGGAGGTACAAACAATAGGTGGCTGTAGGAGCTGTGAGAAGGTGAGGTCGCTGGACTCAGGGTCCACCTGCAGTCCTCCCCAAAACCTGTCTGCATCCACCCCCAGGGGCGAGGCTGGGGTCGGAGCTCTTGTGCCCACAGAGGTCCGGGCCCTTTTCAGCCTGGCTCCACACCCCCAGTCAGGAATGGTGTGGCTCGGCTCCTTCCCTACCTCCCACCCCACAGGTACCATTATTCTTATATTTTCTGTAGCGGTCCCCCAGCCTTGGACCCACCAGACAGAGCAGCAACCTAATGGGCTTCGGGCAGGTTCAAACCTGTCTGAAATACCAGCTTCTGCCCTCCAAAACCTCAGCCCCTGGCTGGTGAGCTTGTCAGGCTTACAGAGGACTCAAACCTGTGTCCTGAAGAGGGGAGGGGTGCAGCCCCCCCCCAACCCCAACTCTTGCCTTCTCGAGCCCAGAGCACCAGCTGCCCACCCTAACTCCTCATAAGGACTGGCTTTAGCTCCTGGTGGTTTAAAAATGTTTTCAAATTAATATAACACTTAAAAACGGGAAGTCTCTTGTAAGAAGATGGAAAAAATCAGAAGTTCTCCCAACGCACAGGCCATGGCTTACAGGGCACCTGTTAGGGGGCCCTGAGAAGTGACCAGCAGCCCCTGCTTCTACACGGCACCTCCCGTCTGGTCCTTTGGAGCCCTGGACCCCCAGCGTAGACTCTACCCCCCCCCTCCAGGTGGTCCCAATGAGAGGCTCTGAATGTAGGTTAAGGAGCAGGAGCAGTGGAGGCCAGGGAAAGAGAAGCAGCGGGAATGGAGGCCCAGAGACTGGCACCTGGACCTACATGGCGGGGGGGTGGCAGGGAGGGATGGTGTCTCCCCAGCCTGTGGAGAGCTGGAGACAGTGCAAATGGGGCCACTCAGTGGGAGCAGCACCTGTGACGAGGCGGGAGAATACTCCACCCTTCCCGCCAGCACTGCCCGTTGGCCAAATCCACTTGTACTGTGGGGGTGCAAGGGGGGCCCTGGGGCTGCAACCACAGTTCGATGCCCAAAGCTGGGCAGAAAGCATATGCGGGTAGAGTGGGGGGCTAAAACAGACCCAACAGCTCCATCCCTGCCTTAGGCTTGTCAGGCAGGGACGGGTATCACCTCAGCATCTGCTCAGAACTTTTCTTGGCCTGTCCCCTCACCTGAGGCCTAAACCAAGACCTGATTTCTTCCCCTCCCTTCTCTGAAGAGATTTTCAAAGGCATGGAGTCCACCAGACTCTCCCCACTCAGCAGGCTCTGCCTGAGTCTCTGCTGGCCCCCCCCACCCCCCCGGGCCTCTCTGTTTCCTCCCCTCTCTGGGGCTCGGTCTCCCCCCCCCCCCCCAACCCCCAGGAGCCTCTCCTTCCTCCTGCCCTGTGATGGGCAGAGTCCCCCAAAGCTTGTCCGTCCCAGTTCACCAAGTGGTGCAGCCACACAAAGTCCCCACAGTCCACCACCCAGCCGGCGCGTCTGAGGTCAAAGTTAGGCTTAGGACGCTCCCCCCAGTGTACGCCCCCTCTGCCCCACACCTGTGGCTTCAGCAGCAAGGTGTGCTCAGGCAGACCGCCCGCTATTCTGTGAGACTAAAAGCTAAGCTCCTTGATGGGAGCCTTACTTTATAGTCAGATAAATAGAATCCCCTGCTCTTACGACCTCGCCTGATCTGGTTGCTTCCAGCTCAGCTCTCCACTGGATCCAGACTGGGTGCTCGGGGGCCTTGCCAGCCGCCTCAGACTGGCCTCGCCTCTGCAGATGACCCTCCTCTGGGCCTTCGTCATCTTCGTGCCTACTCAGGAGCAGTGCCAGGCTGTCCCAAACAGGTCACGCTTGGGACTCTTCATGTCCTGAAGTCACCTGGCCTTGACCCTTCCCGCCACCTAAGCCCAGAGCTGCCGGGGTTCGGAGCTGGCTGCCCCAGGGCCTGTAGGCACGGAACCTGGGCATGACCTAGGGCGGGGCCCCTGCCAGGCGGTCCTCTCCCCACAGGGGTGCTGGAGAGCCAGACCCCCAGGCTCCAGTCTTGATTCCCTGCCTCCTCTCCCCTTTGCTCCATCACACAGTGATGTTTGAAAGCCGCTTGGGTTTTATGAACTCACAGTCCTGGTCAAGTCCTGGCCCCTGCCCTTCTCTGGCCACCTCTTCCTGTGGGTTCTCAGGTCCTCCATGGCACCCCCGCTCTGAGGCCAACGGTTTTTCCACCCCTGCTTTTCTCTTATTCTCAGCGGGGATTCCTGATGGGGTGTTCCCTCACACACCCGCACACGGCTGAGTGCAGGGCCCAGTGCTCATGCCTGTTCTCTGAAGCACTCAGCTGGTGGGGAGGGCAAGGAGACGGAGCCTTCACTCGGGCCCCTGGTTCAACAGGCCCCAAGAGTTAGGGCCTCGGATTGAGCCGTGAAAGCTGATGGGAGGTGCCAGGGCTGAGTGGGGAGAGATGAGCAGGGGTGGGGGCCAGCAAGAGCTTAAAGCGTGCCTGGACTCCGCTAAGGGGCTGTCCCCACCCACGCGGAGAAGCCAGTTAGGTCCATTTGCATTTACTGCTGGGGTTCTCAAAACTCGGAATTGCAATCCTGCCTGGGAGCGACAGAGAACCCTCACGAACAAGTATAAATGTAAACAAGGCGTCACTATTCCATACCAGAGGTAATTGGGAACCGAGAGAGACTTGGTGTCATTTTTGGCAAGATGGGCTGGGGTCTACACGTGCCCAAGTCCTGCGAGTTGTCTGAGAGGGGCAGCTGACGGGAAATAGAAGGAACCTCCGAGGAAGGAACCCGGTTCCGCTAAAGGCCTCTGCCAGCGTGAGTCAGCCTGCAGAGGTACGGGGATCGGGAGAGCAAGCAGGCCTGCATCAGGGGCCGGTCCACCCTCCACCCAGCTGCTTATAAAGCCGGAAGGAAAGAGGGGCGAGGTGGCTGGCAGTACGTCCCGGGGTAAGGCCTGCCTAGGCCTGTGCACCTACACCCGGGAAGAGTAGGAAGCACCAAGAACAGAGCAGCAGAGACCCAAATTGGACGTTGCCACTCAGCCCAACCAGCGGCTGACCTACTGTCACTGGGAAGGGGCTGGTGGAGGTGAGCTGGGCACAGGGAAGCAGCAGCCCCTCCCAGACACGTCGGGCTACCCTCGGCTTGAGCTTCTCCGGAACCATGCCACCTGCACTGGTCTCCGGGACAGAGGTAAGGGACACAGAGTCTCCAGGCGCAGAGGAGAGCAAGTCACAACTATGAGGTGCAGCCTGCGAGCCACGGGCCAGGTGCTGGGGGAAGCGGAGGTGGGACAGGTGGCATTTCAGCCAAGCTTGGAAGGCGGCCAGAAGCCGGGAGGCAGTGGGGCAGGCGAGACCTGACCCGAGCAAGAGGAGGTGGGGAGTTTGGGGCCAGTGGGGGGATGGGGGCCGTCCTGTGGCTGGAGACTCATACCACGGTAGGGCCTGCATGGAGGCGAGCAGCCACCAAAGGCAGCAGGCGGAGGTGGGTGATGACTTACCAGGACGGATGTGGGGCCACGGCAGGGGTCCACAAAGTGTCTTCGTCTACTTGAGCTCTTCTAACAAAGATACGACAGGCCAGGGGGCTGAAACAACATTTATTTCTCACAGTTCTGGGAGCTGGAAGTTCAAGATCAAGGCGTTGGCAGAGTCAGTGTCTGGTGAGAACCTGCTTCCTAGTTCATAGCTGGTACCCTGGCTGTGTCCTTCTTCAGTGGAAGGGGCAAGGAAGGTCTCTGAGGACCCTTTTATAAGGGCACTAATCCAGGGGCACCTGGTGGCACAGTCAGTTAAGCATCTGACTTTGGCTCAGGTCATGACCTCGAGGTTCGTGGGTTCAAGCCCCGCATCGGGCTCTGTGCTGACAGCTCAGAGCCTGGAGCCTGTTTTGGATTCTGTGTCTCCCTCTCTCTCCGCCCCTCCCCCACTTGTGCTCTGTCCCTCTCTCTCTCAAAATAAATATTTTTTTTAAGTTTATTTATTTATTCTGAGAGAGAGGAGGAGAGAGAGAATTCCAAGCAGGCTCCGCACTGTCAGCGCAGAGCTCAGTGCAGGGCTTGAACTCACAAACCGAGTGATCATGACCCGAGCCAAAATCAGAGTCAGATGCTTAACCAACTGAGCCACCCAGGCACCCTTCAAAAATAAATAAACATTAAAAAAAATCTTTTTAAATAAGGGCACTAATCCTGTTAGGGCCCCACCCGTAAGACCTAGTTACCGCCCAAAGGCCCTGCCTCCTAATGTCATCACATTGGGGATTAGGTTTCAACATATGAGTCGAGGCGGGGGTGGGGGGGGGGGTGTTGAGGTGGGGGACACAAATGTTTATTTAGTTCATAGCACAAGGTGATAAGAGTCCAGCCTTGGAAATAGGGATTTGTGCTGTGTGGGAGGAAGCCCATCAGTCTGGGAACATTCCCTGGTTCTTTGATGATCCTTGACACCAACTATAAAGGACTCTGCCCATCATCCTTCCAGAGGGAGCCCCTCCCCACCCCAGCTCCAACCCCCACCCCAGATGCCACTCCTGCCCAGTCGGTCCTCTGAGTCCCTTCTAGCCTCCCACCTAGAGAGTGCCGAGGCCAGCCGGGAGGGCAGAAAGGGGGAGCAGGCAGAGAAGACAAGAGTGTCCACTTAACAAGGGCAGAGGGTTGAATCCAGGCCCCTGCAACAGAGCAGAAAGGAACAGGCAAGGGTGGGGTCTAGACCGCAGACAGACAGGGCCGAGGGGGGTGACAGATGCTTTCCTTGACCAAACTTTTAGTGGGAGTTCAGCTCAGGCCCTGACTTCCAGCTTCCGTGTCTGTCTGTGTCACCCAGTTTTAGAAAAATCCGGTCACGTCAGTTTAGCCAGAATCCTCCCCCTTGATGTTTCTTCCGACTTCGTAAATTTCCGCCCACCAGCTTCCCCCTAGCCCCTCCTTGGCTGTGAAGTCTTCCCTCCTCCTTGCTAAAACCAGATTCTGGTCCAGTGCTGTTCTGAGGTCTCTTTTCCCCTATTGCATTGGGCCCTGAATAAAAGCTGGTTTTACTGCTTTCACTGTCGTCTGGCTCTGGTTCTTTTTAGTGGTGGCACTTGTGCTCTCTCCCCACACTGGGCATGTGGGGGTTGGGTGGGAACTTTGGTCAGCACCCCTCTGTTCCAGGCTCCTTGCCAGGAGGAACCCAGGAGGGCTTCCCGCAGGGGGAGACACTTGGGCATGTCCTGAGAGCCCAGTGGGAGTGAACTCTGCCCAGACAAGTCCCTGAAGGCAGTGGCATGCATATAGGTGGGTCTGTTCAGAGGTGGCACCTGCCCCAAGCGCCTGTGGACCTCACAGAATTCCAGATGCACCCGCATGCCTGTGCCCCTGCTGGTGAGCCACAGGAAGGCTGACACACAGAACAAGTCTCATGACAATCACTGGGGGTGCTGACAGCCTCCTCAAGGCCATCATCCCCTTCCTTGGAGGGCTGCTGGTAAACTGGATTTTATGACTACATCTTTCCAGGCACCCAAACTGTCACAGATGCGTAACAGTGACACGGAAGCTGTATTAATGCCAAAGTCTATATGATTTGAGGGACACCACTTGATTTCTTGCATTTTTTATGTGTTTTTAAGGGAATGACTTCTGGGGCGCCTGGGCGGCGTCCAACTTCGGCTCAGGTCATGATCTCACAGTCTGTGAGTTCGAGCCCTGCGTCAGGCTCTGTGCTGACAGCTTGGAGCCTGGAGCCTGCTTCGGATTCTGTCTCCCTCTCTCTGCCCCTCCCCCACTCATGCGGGCGCGCGCTCGCTCTCTCTCTCTTTAAATAAATTAGTGACTTCTCCAGGGGGATTGGAGAAATCTGTCTGAGATTTTGTTTAGCCACAAGTAACAGGAAAGCCCACCAAAGCAACAGCGTATGCAAACCAAGGTGTTACTGTCCTCGGGTCCAGGGCTCCTCCAGCAGCTCCCCAAGGCAGTGGACAACCTCCCCTCACCACGCCCACACCCACCCGTTTCTCCCCTCCCCTGCCCTGACCGAGCCACTCAGCAGCCTCTGAAGCCACGCTGCTGGGGCAAGAGGCAGAAACCATCAGTGCACAGGTTACACGGCGTTGTTCAAATTTGATTTGTCTTTACATGTTTATTTATTGCACCACTGATCGTTTACGTATTCCTAAAACACGAAGATAAGTTGAGAGTAAACTGGGAAGGTAAGTTAAGTTTTAGGGCCTGGCTGAATGTGGTAGAAAGAAGCCTCAAAGATTTTTTTAAAAGGCCAAAGAGAATGTGAAAAGCCTTTTGTTCTGAGGTAAGGGATTCACATGGCTCCTGTAGGTCACGCAGGACAGAGGTGGTTTAAGGGGGTGCTGGGGAAGGACCTCCCGTAACTGCGCATCCGTTCTGGGCAGTTGTTACCTGGTGGCTCTTCCCACAGCTTCGGCTTCTCCTCCGTGTGCTCTGATGGCATCGAGAAGTTCTCTCTGCGGGCTGCAGGCCTCCAACACGGATCCCGCACTTGCCGCCCTTTCAACAAGGACAGAGCAGGCCTCGCGTTCAGAGCTTCCGCCGGGCACCGGGGTCTCCCCTGAAGGTGACAACACTGTTTATGTTGACAGCTGCTTTCCACTGGTGTCAAACTGACGAGGCTTTCAGCCTGCAGTGTTCATCTTTTTAAAATACACTACCCGCACTTCCGGGTTCCGGGCCAGCCTGTAAGGGGCTTGCAGGCCGCTGCTCCGTCCTCACAAGAAAAAAAGTGGAAATCAACGATCCGTCTCAGATCCTTCAGAGAATCAAGGTCACAGCTCAAACTGCTGCCCCTAAAATCAGAGAGACAGACAGCAGACACAGAAAATCTCAGCTTCCAGGAGCAGAAACGGCCC